TGCTCCAAAGGCAGCTCTGTCCACAGGGCTCCTGAGGAGGAAGGGAACTGAGCACAGGTCCCTCCTTGCCTGAGACTGAAAGGGCTTCAGGTAAGTAGAGTCTCCGCTTGTGTAGTCTCTGACTGTTGCCGTTTGTCATGTTTGCAGAGGATGTGAAGGGCCTCCGTCAGGAGCTGCAAGCTGTAAGATCTCTCAGCAAGCAGCAATGTGAAGAAATGGCTCAAGAGCTCCGCTGGGCAGAAGAGCAGTGCTGCAAGGCTCTCAGACACTGGCAATCTGCTCAGAAAGAGGAAAAAAGGAAGCTCCAGCAAGAAATGGTAAGCGACAATATGCACGGAAGTTTTCAGGCCAACTTGGTGGGCTGGCTTAGCAGAAGAGCAGCCTGGGTGACATGGCAGCAAGCATCTGCTGTAGTCTACACATTACTGGGCTACACACAGCAGAGGGCTTCAAGGGCTCCTACTAGAAAGCCTGTGAAGACCAAGAGGATGGTGCCGGGACAGTACCTGCAGCCTCGGTTTCAGGCTGGGTGTAAGCCAAGTTCCCCAGAGAGCTGGGTGGTTGCCACCCAAAGCATGGCAGCGAAGGATCTTGCCCACAGCCTGGTGCCATGAAGCAGACGGCTGCTGACCTTGCTGCACTCTGCAGTCCCAGCAACTGGGTTCCTTGCATTCTGTCCTTCCACGGTGGACAGAGAGTCTCCCCTTTGGGCTTGAAGCATACGCAACAGGCCCCGTGTTGCTGGTATTCCAGCTGGTGGCCTGTCTTGTGACTAGGGCATTGGAGTGCTGGCTTCCTCCTCATGCTGCAGTCCACCTGCAGGTTTTCCTTGATCCTAGGGCTGCGGCACTTTGAGAAGACAGCCTGTGAGAGCAGGCAGAAATCCTGAGGAGACAGGGGCTAGGAAACAGGCAGCCCTCAGAGTGGGGAAGGAAGGCGGAATCTCCTTTCCTTCCACCTGCTGACCCTCCTGTGAAGTTCCTGGTTAGAAGTGCTGGAGGGCACAAAGCCACTACTGGGGACTCTTCAGGTGGGGGGCTTGTGGGAGGGATGAAGCTGTCATTTTTTTCTTTGGGGAGCACGGCTGGGACTTCATCTGGAAGTGTCTCTTCCTCTCCTCAGAAGCAATGTCTGGAACGGCAGCGCTTGGAGGCGCAGGCGATGCTGGAGGAACGGGAAAGCTTCCTGGCAGAGGTACAGAGGGAGCAGGAGAAAAGGCTGCTTGAGATGAAGCAGGATGTTGCCATCAGGCAACCTGAACAAGAAAAGATAGGAACCAGAGCCAGTCAAGAGGCAGCACAGAGTGTGAAAAGAGAGTTTGTGTGTTGCTTTGGTCTCCTCTGGGCTCCTTATGGGCACTGCTTCTGTGGACACTGTCTGTCTGAGTGGGACTGCCTCTTAGCTGGCCCGTGGTGAACATGAGGAGGAGAACAAAGTGCTTTTGGAAAGCGTGCGCACCTCAATCTTGGTGGCCACACAAGTGGTGTGTGGGACATTGAAAGGCGTCTTCTCTTTGTTCCTGTGCAGCTCCAGGGTGAGAATGCTGCTGTCTTAGCCAAGGTGCAGCAGCTGCAATGGGAGCTAGAGCAAAGCCGGCAGGAGCTGGAGCAGCTGAGGCAGCAGCTGAATGCGGAGCGTCTGAATGGGCAGGTGAGCCTGACCAGGCAGGGTGCAGAGGGAAGGGCAGTGATGGGGGCATGAGCTGGACATCTCAGGAAAGGGGAGGCAAGGACTACTGCAGGCACTGGGAGCACAGAGCCGGGCAGGCTCCAGCGCTGTGCACCAGGAAGAAGAGTTGAGGTGAAAGAGTGAGAGCTGGGTGGAGAAGCAGAATGGAAGTGCCTACGAGACTTGGAATTGAGAAGGCTGAGCATGATGGCAGGAGCTAGTGAGACTTTTCTTGACAGAATATCAAGGACAAGATGCAGGCAGAGCTGCAGAAAGCTTGGAGCGTGATGAAGGCAGTGGAGGAGAGGTGCATAGAAGAAATGGAAAGGATGTGCAGGATCCAGCTGCAGTACAGGCTGGCAGAACAACAGCAGGTGAGTGAGAGAGCAGTAGGCACTGCAGTCATGCAACAAGTGGTCTCTGCTCTTCTCACCTTTCCCCTGCAGAGCAGCAGGTGGATGGGGGCAAGGCCCCTGACTGCCAAGCTCTGTGGTCTGCGTTGCAGCTCGCCAGCACGACACTTACTGGGCCACTGAAGCACAGCTTTGCTGCCCTGGGCATCAAAGCTAGTGCTTTGGCTGGTGGGCCAGCAATCCTGTGAATGTATTTCTGCTGGCTTCTTAGTGCCCACTTTGTTTATTGAGGAGTTTGCTCAGGTGAACGTGGTGACCCATGCATATTCTGAACAAGTTGTCCCTTTCCATGGCGAATGCAGGTCTCAGAACGGGGTGAAATTTTAAGGTCTTCTTTCCCTTTCACCATCTCTACTATGGCTGGCTGTGACAAGCTGTAGTCTCTGACTGCTTGTTTGGCTTTGACTTGAGGTGGAAGAGTTGACAGCTCAGTGTGCAGCCAAACACCAGTGTTGTTCCTGATGGCATGCCTGTGAAATGTGCTGTCAGGGGCATCTCTGCCAGCCACTTTTCTGACACAAACAAATTTCTTGTCCCAGATGGACGAGGGCTCTGCCGTTGAAGGCGCCGCTGCAGCAGCACCCTCCGAAGAAGCCTCCCCTCCGCAGCCTGAGAACCCGAGCAGGAGCAGCTGGCTCCGCTCCGGCCAGGAGAGCGAGAAGCAGTGCCTGAGGCTGCTGAGTAAGTCCTGGGGATTTCTTGTGCAATCCAGCAGTGTATTATGGGGTGTGTGCCTCAGCATGAGCTGTAGCGCATCTTCCTCCTGACCCTGGTGTCGGGGAGACATTCTGGACTCCCTACAGGAGCCATTGTTGTGCTTGGAGGCAGCCAGGGAGCATTTTGGGGCACTCCTTTTGCCTTTGAGGGCAGCTGGGTGTGGGTGGCCTTTGCCTGAGGTTCCATGTGCACTAAAGGCAAAAGCAGGGATTGTTTCCTGAGCAGCAGAAGGCTGCAACCTAGCCAATGACTGAGTCAGCTTGTGTGTGCTGGTCTGGCCATATTGATCATAGTAGTTGGCTTCCTAGATTGCCTTTGGACTGCATTTGGAGACAAAAGACTTCAGAGAAATTGTTTGGCTGTGGGGCTGGTTTCATACTGGTGGTGTTTTCATGACTTCTACTATTCCTTCTACAGTTTGCTTGGATAAAAATTCTACAATTTTGTTAGTGTGACCTCCTTGGAAGGAGCATCAGGTGATAGCAAAACAACAGAGGAAGGGGTCTTTTCAGCACACCCCAAATGTTAAGAAATTGTATTCTTAGAACAATCCCTGGGAATCAGAGAGCAAGAGGTGTTTTCACAGTGCAGCCAACAAAGAAAAACACAATTTGTTTTCCAATCCCTCTTGGAGAGTTCAGTTGTATGCCTAGGGAGACGCATCAAGAGACACTTCTATGTGGCAGGGCCAGATAAAACTGCCCTGCAGGCAATTCTCAGGAGGAAGCCTGCAGCCCCTCTGCTGCATCTTCCTCCAGTAGAAGGCACTTTGTCAGGGCTAAAGCCCAGCCGGTAAATACTCTTGGGATAGTAAGGATTGGCCTCAATCCCTGCACTCTTGGAAAGCACAGCAAGGCCTTGGTGACTCTGCAGTGCAACTCAGTTGCTCCTTGCAACTGGTCATAGCTGCCAGTGCAGCGCTGTCAGAGAATAAGAAGCGGGCAGGTACAGAACAGAGCCCAGTTTACTCAGTGTCGGCCATCAGCTGTAGGGACAAGAGGTGAATGGATGGACTCCTGCTTGGCTCTGAACTCAGTGACACCCATGTTGTGTCTCGACTGGGGTGAACAGCTTGTTGCAGTGCTCAGTCTGGCTCTGGCTTCTTCACAGTGCCTGTCAGTGGCCATTTGTGGGCTATGCTCAGGTTTTGGTCATACCTGCCCTGCCACTGATGGCTGCTGTGACTGCAGGGGCTGGAGCCTTCCTTAGCTGTGAGGTTTCAGCAGCCACCGCGTTGCTGCAGCTTTGCCTGGACTCGTCAGAGGATCAGCAGCTCGTTTGTGCAGGTGTCTGAGCCACGGCAGCGCCTGAGGAGCGGCGCTGTCCTTGTTACCCGTCTGGGCTGTGCCCTTGGGGAAGATGGGGCACGTGGCTGGTGTCCAAGGGGCCGAGGGCAGTGCCAGTGACTGCTGCAGCCCAGGCTGAAGACATGGACTTGTTGTTCTTCACTAAATGGGGAATGGGCAAAATCATCTTCAGAACTTAGCCTGCTCGTAAAAGAAGAGGGTCCTAATTCTTACAGCCATTGTTTTGGATGTAGCACAGCATGAGCTGCTGTTCTCTGAAAATGTCAAGGCATTCTTTAGGCAAACTGCTGCGAGGTAGAGGAAATCCCCTCCTCTCCTGGATTTCACTTTGCAATATTCCTTCAGCTCTGCAAAAAGCAGCTGTTGATAAAACTTCATCCCAGATGGCAGGGTGCATTGAAATCTTGGAATTCTGAAACCTTTTGTTGAACCTCACAAGAGAGTGTTATCTCTCAGGAGAATGAAGGGTCCTGATTTTTCAGCCCTCCTTCCCCTTTGTGGACCACAAGCACTTGCCACGGTGCCAGTTCTTTTCTGGTCTCTGTCTGCTCTGACGGTTTCTCCGCGGGCTTAGTCTCCTCTTCAGAGGAGTGTGCAGAATCAGACTCTGTGCAGGCCACGTGTGTTACAGAGCTGCCTGTCTTCTTACTGCGGCTGCTCTTGTTGTTCTTGTTGACACTGTTGTTAGGCAACCGACCAGAAATTGCTCCGAGCCCCTGAGAGTGGAGCTGAGATTCTGATCCACTGGAAGTCAGGATCTCTGTTTTGAAGTTTGCTTCTTGCATTTTCTTTCTTTCAGGGAGTGTGGTGAGCGGGGCAGATCCAGAAAAGAAATACACTGGATGGAAAATTATTGGCAGAGGGTGAGTTCAGCCACGCTTACTCCTCCAGAACCATGGGTCATGTACGTGGCTGCTGGAATATCAAGAGGGAAGTCAGGCAAGCTGCAAGCATCTTCAGACCCTGGCTTTAGATTGTCCCTGTCTCAGTACTGGTCACAAGGCATCATCAAAGATAACTGCATGCTGGCAACCAATGTCTTGCCTGCCCTCAAGGAGGCACTTGCCTGTCCCTCAAATGTGTGGCACGAGATTCCTTATTTTCCCAGCAGACATGGTTTTGCCTGATTCCAAGTAATATGGCCCCACAACTGAAGGAAGAAAAAGCTGAGAGAGCAGCTTCCCCCCTGAGAGCCGTCAGACAGCAGCTCTCAGCAGCATTTCTTTCCAGTATTTTGCTGAACACAACTTTCAGTGCTCAGGACAATAAGACAGGCTGTGTGGCGCTGCCTGAGTTTGGCAGGCAGAATCAAAAGAGAGCTCTGAGTGCAACAGGACTGTGTGTGTTTCATTGCTTGGAAAGGCGCCCCACACGCACAAGCGCAAAAAGGAAGAGGCAAAGCAAACCCTCACATCCATAGACTAGTGTGTACATTTGAGATTTGTAGCAGCTCTTTTTTCTTCCTGTTGGACTCAGTTTGCTCTTGGACAAGCTGCATGGCAGAGGGTTGCTGGGCTGCTGTGGTATTGTCTGAAGAGTAGACAAAGGCTGGTGTTTGAGGGACGCTCCAGGCAGCAGAGAGCTCCTGCCTGGGCTGCCTTTTGCTTCTCAGCACTGAACAGCTCCTCTGTTCTTGCTGCTGTTCTGTTCCTAGGGGTTTTGGAACCGTTTATAAGGCCTTGGATGCTGCCACAGGACAAGCGGTAAGTGCCAACAGCCCTTGCAGATTTCGCAGCTCTTGAGCGCTTTCCCTTGGGATGTCATCTGTGGCCAGAGCTTTGTGTTACCGGTCTTTGCTGCAAAGGCTGCCTAGAGGCAGGCTGAAAAATGCATGGTGGACAGACTTTGTCTCGCATTCTGAATCAATGTGAGGATGGCAGTGGTGTCTTTCCAAGAAGACCATGCTGTCTTGGACTGACTGGATAAGTGTGCAGAGATTAGCTGATGGCAGCAGCCGTCATTCTGGCCCAATTGCTCTTAAGCCCAGGTTGAGACACAGATAGGATTTGCCATTGTTTCCCATCACGAGATACACTTTGAAAAGACCTAAAGGAGAGGCCTTGTCTGGAGCGCACTTTTGCCTTGCAGTCCTAGGGAGCCAGGGTCACACACACACACAGACACTGGCACACGGATCAGTGAGAAGAAGTTGATGAAGAGCCTTAAGTAATACCGCCTTGTGTTGGTCCTTTGTTGCTGACATTCCATTACAGAGATGCTTTTTGTGCTGAACTGACATGCTGGTGTCTTGGAGAGTCCCATGCTCTTTGGGGCTAACCATTCAGAGTCCTGAATTCTCCTTTCTGGCTCTCAGCAAATACAACTCCATCTTCCTGGTAGCTCCTTATCCACCTGCAGTGCTGTGCTCAGCAACTGCACTTGGAGGGATGTCTACAAGGAGTCTGAAAGCCCTAAGCCCTGCTTATCACCTGGAGTGCATCCGTAGTGGTCCACAGAAAGGATTCTTCATTTTTTAATGCACTCAATCATTACACATCTAAACCGTGTTGGGGAATGCTCTTCAGAGATGCAAAATCCAGAAGAAGTTAGGATGTGCTAGGATGTTAACTTTCCTTTGAGTTGCCTTGGAGTTGTTCTTTTTCAGACAGCATTTTCTCTGTAATGGATTGGTGTATTTACTTTGGAGCACAATCAAGAATGGCAGCAGTTTCTGAAACACTGATCAAATCCCCTAGAAATGCTAACCTATTTTCCACAAGTTGAGTTTCATTTCACAGAAGCAAAATTCCTTTGGCTTGCAAAACGCGTGTAAATGATAAGAGTAGTGAGAAAGGAGGTCTCACGGAGGAGTCTGCAAGGGCTGAGAGTGCTGTTAGCACATTGTGGCTGATGCTTTAGAGTCCCTTTTCACCGAGGTGACAAGGCATCCTGGCCCGTGAGTGCACGGAGGAAGAGGCTCTTGTAATGTCTGTTCCTAACGGCTTTCAACGTCATTGTAGGTGGCCGTAAAGGAAATTAATCTCCAGCACCAGCGCTGCAAGGAAGTATTGAAAGAAATCCTGGTCATGAGGGAAATGAGGAACCCCAATATTGTCACCTACCTAGAAAGGTAAGTAGTTCTGTATTTTTATGGGAATGTCAGTTTCCATACTTGCAAGACAAAGGTTTCAAGCACTTTGCTCGGTGGCAGAAAATTGATCTTGCTGTGAACATCAGTCCACTGCTATATGAGGCATGGGAGGAGATTGCATTCTTCTGGTTCCCGGCAGAAATAGTTTAAAGATAGTTCTCAGAAACCTGGCTCTCTTACTAAGCCAGCAGCCTCGATGTTCACTTGCTGAATGTTCCTTTGCTGTTTTGGGGCGTGATTTTTTTTCTGAGTGTCGGAAGAGAAGTGCTGAGAAAGCAACCCAGAAATTATTTCCCTTGTGCTGTTCCCACTATTTTCTATTGCCTTGCATGCCAAAAGGCTAGCCAAAGAGACACATTATTTGCCGGGTTTGAAGTAGTTTTTTCCTGTTGGTGACTGTCCTTTATGCAAGGCTTCCCAAAGGGTGTTGGCAGTGCTGCACCTCCACCTCCCCTGTGAAAAAGCTGTGAAAACTGTGTCTCCTTGCTGTTGGAGTTAATGGCGCAATTTGTGTATGAAGGCAATGGGGCAGCTGCTGGGATGTGTCCGCTTCCAGATCTGCCTCTGCTATCACAAACTGCCGTTTTCCCCTGCTTGCCCGCTAAGCCGTCTCCTTTCCCACGGGTGTGCGATTAGATGGCACAGATTGCAAGCTCTGGATAGCCTGGGTGGAGCGTGTCTCCATTTTATTCCGTCTTCATTTCCCAGTGACCTGCAAGCAAAACTCAGCTGTAGTCTTTTCATCCGTATGGCAATTTAGCTGTGCCCATTTCGGTCTACGCTGTTGTTTTCATCTTCCAGCTACCTTGTCAATGAGTTTGTCCTGCTGGTGTTGGAGTACATGGATGGAGGCTCTTTAGCAAAAGTGGTCAGTGAGAAAAGGATGGCTGTAGGACACATGGCAACTGTCTGTCAGGAGGTAAGGGATCCTGCTTGTGCTTGGGATGCCTTGGACAGCCTCATAGTTCAAAAGCGCCGCTAAGTGAGTGATTCCGTGTTCAGAGCTTTCTTGCTGTGCCGCTCTTTTGCTTCAGAGAAGAAAGAGCATCTGGACGGAATGCCTGCCAGTGTCCCTGCCCTTACTATAGTCTGCTCTTTATCTGCTTTTGGCCTCTGTGCTCTCTGTCTCTCTTCAATTATTTTGTTTTCTGTTCTGCGCTTTGCCCCTCCAAGCCTTTGCCTAGAACCTTTCTGCATTGCCTTCTTTGCCTGTAAGCGCAAAGATGCCGGTGTGTGAGTTCTAAACCAACAGCAAAGGCAAAGAGAGACTCATCTCTCACGGGTCTCAGCTTCAAAGGAGGGCATGGCACCCACCACGGTTCTTGCTGCTGAAAACGGACAAATGACTTGAAATGTCTTTCAAATCTGCTGGCCAGGCAGCCTTACAGCCCTTTACCTCCAGTCTCCCACCTGAGAGTGATGCCCTTGGTACCCAGAGCAGGGACTTTTCCTCTTTTGGCCAACCGTTGTTTGTCCTCGGAATGGGGAGAGCGCATCGGCTGCAGCAGCGGTCATTCTGACTGGCTTTGCAGGGGACAGTCTCGAGCAGCAACTGCTGTTTCCCCCTCAAAGCCAATATGCCTTGCCTTAGAGAGATCCTGCGCTCCCAGGCTTGCAGCAGCAAGCTCTTCCTCTTGCCAGCACTCACTGCTCCTCTGAGATCCATGAATCTTCAGGAGCACTTTCCTTTTGTGCATGATGAACTCAGATCAGGCTAACTTTTGGCCTCCTGCTTCTTTTTTTCTCTCTCAGTGCCTGAAAGGCCTGGCTTTCCTTCATGCCAACCAGGTGATCCACAGAGACATCAAAAGCGACAACATCCTTCTGGGCCGGGATGGCTCCGTCAAGTTGGGTGGGTATTCTTGCTCAGGGCACAGCTGTAGGCTGCTGGGAGTCTGAAAGAGCAACAAGTATCAAGGGGAACTGTGGTTTGTGTGTGTCCCTTCCAGAGGGAGGGAGGCTACAGTGGAAACCTTCAGTGTAGATGAGGAAAAGCCACCACCCTGGGAATGGTGGTGGGTTTGTTAAATGGACAATTGCTAGTTTCCTTGGCTGCATCCCTGAGGAAAGAGAGCACAGCTGCTTTTCCAGCTCGATTCAGTACTACATTCTGAGACTTAGAGTGAGGAAATCTTTTCCTTGGTTTCCTACTTGAAGCAGTGTTTGTTTTTCTCCTCAGCTGATTTTGGCCTCTGTGCTCTGCTCACACCTGAGCAGAGTGAACGGAGGTCAATGGTGGGGACAACTTGCTGGATGGCACCCGAGGTGGTGAGAAAAGAGCCTTACGGTCCCAAAGTGGACACCTGGTCCCTTGGCATCGTGGGAATTGAAATGGCCAAAGGAGAGCCTCCTTATGTTTGGGAGACCAGTGACAGGGTAAGGTACAAATATGCTTCCGAATCCGGTATCCTTCTGGTCTGTCTCCATTAGACAAAATCCCATTCCCGCAGCTTGGATGAGTTCCAAGAAGGTCCACTCCTAAAAAGGTCCCTGCGGCTCACATCAGCTGTCAAGGCAAGACCTGTTGCCCCTTGGAATAGCTGGAGTTGCACTGGGGCCTTTTCACTTTTGGGGAAGAAGGCTCGTCTCTAACCATCTGCTAGGCAAGGAATTGCCACTGCAGACTGGGGCTGAAAAGAAGGGGTCTAGGTGAGCACTGAAGGCTGTGGAAGAATCACGTAGAGTCTTGTGTTTCCTTTCACTTCAGGCTAACCGCCTGATAGGCACGCAAGGCATACCAGATCTGCACGAGCTCAGCCTACCCCCTGCCTTGTGTGAATTTCTGGGCTGCTGCCTGCAGATGGATGTGGACAGGCGAGGCTCTGCCAAGGAACTTCTGCAGGTACAAGGCAAAGGGGCTGCAGGCCAAAGAGCTGCTCCCTGTCTGGGTTTGCTCCTCGGCCCAACTCCAGGGCATCAGATGGGCCCCCCACAGGGTAATCTCTGCTCTGGCAGCTTTTCAAATGAGAACCAAGTAGGATCCAAGACTAGTTAAGGTTAGAAGGGAGTGGTGGAGGTCATCTAGTCCAAACCCCCTGCCACTGGCAAGGACATCTTCAAATAGGTCCGGTTGCTCAGAGCCCCAGCTCACCTGACCTTGAATGCTGACAGCGGGGCACCTCCCAGCTCTCTGGGCAGCCTGAGCCAGTGTTTCAGCACTCTCCTCATAATGAGTTTCTTCCTTAGAGCCTTTCTGAATTGACTCTCTTTTAGTTTAAAACCATTCTCCCTTGTTCTCTCAATTGGCCCTGCTAATAGATATGTCCCCATCTTTCTTCTAGGCCCCTTCAAATATTGAAAGGTCCCCTTGGAGACCTTGCCCTTCTGCAAGCTAAACAAGCCCAATTCTCACAGCCATTCCTCAGAGGAGAGCTCCCACCTTCTGGTCATTGCTGAGGCCCCCTTTTGCTCTCGGCTGCTGTTTTCAGGTTTAGCTGGTAGCAAAGGAACTGAAGTACAGCAGTGCTGGGGAAGGAGGCCTGCAGTGGGGCTTGAAGAACACAACAAAAGCACTCCCTGCCAAGCGCTTCTAGATTGGTCTGTGGGAAGGTGGGGCCTTTGCGGGGGCTGACTGAGCATCCAAGGGCATCCAGTTTGTCCTTCCTGCCCCACTCTTAGAGGCTTCTGCCAGCCAAAGAGAGACAGCTGAGCAGGATTTGTGCCAGCCTCACGTGCTGCCTGGCCCGCTCAAGTAGATGAGAACCACTGCAGCTTTGCTGCCACCTTTTGTGGCAGACAGGCAGCTGGCGACCGCGCCACTTCCTTGGCTCTCCCTGCTGTGAAGGAAGATGCCAGCCAGGCCAGGAGGAGGGGGGCATGCCAAGGCAGACACTGCTCTCCTTGCAAGCCAGAGCTGAGTCCATCTGCGCTCTGCCCCTTCTGTCGGTGTGTTTCTGGGCCCTAGAAGAACCCAGCTTGACCCTGTTGGAAGCTCAGTTTGGAAAATAATGGTTCCTTCTCCCTTGGTCTCTTTTAATTTGGTTGCTTTGGTTTCTTTTTCCCTTTGGGCAGCATCCATTTCTCAAGCTAGCGGAGCCTCTCTTCAGCCTCCTCTGAGAGCCTGATTGCTGTCATCCCTGCAGCAAAGTAATGCAGGAAGCAGAGGAGATGACAAGGACCGCTTCAGCACCAAGAGAACGGAGCCTCTGAGAACAGGCAGGAATCCTGGGGAGAGAGGGCCCAGCAAACAGGCAGACTGAGACAGAGCGGGAAAAGAAGGTGCCACCTCCTGTTCTCCCATCTGCTGGTCCTTCTAATTTTCTGCTTAGGACAGCATAGCTGGAGGGCACAAAGTCACTAATGTTGTGCAGATTTGAGCAAGGCAGGAGTGGCATTGCAGGCGTGAAGGGAATGGGAAGGCCAGAGCTGTGTCTCAGGAGGAGGGAGCTCCCACAGGATGCCACCGGCAGAGCCAGGCTAGAGCTGTGGGAGACGGCTGGATGTTCCCAGCTGCGGAGGAGGTGCCTGAAGCGGCTGGAAACATCCTGTGCATTCTTTGACCCATGGAGCAGGGTGCTGCGTCTGTGCTTGTCTGGCCAAATTGTTCAGAATAGTTGGCTTCCCGGTTTCCTTTTAGACTCCTGCCTTGTTGGCAGTCACTGGAAACAAAATTCTTGAGAGAAATGGATTGGCTTTGGGGCTGGTGGCATACTGGTGTTGTATCATGACTGTTTCATGACTTCTACTATTCCTCCTACAGATCACCATGCAACTCTCCACTCCAGATGCTTTTCAAATGAAAAGGAAGGAAAGAGGCAGTGAATCAATTGGAGAAGTGGAGCACATGACCAGGAGCACTTCAGGATTCCTTTCTCCGATGCCAGCTTGGAGCCCACCTCAGAAGAAAAATCCTAGACATCCACAAGCCATTTGGAAGAATCCCTTCCTTGACCATTCCAGGCACACCTCTGTGGCTCATTGGTGTACCCATGACTGGCAGCAAAGAGGGGGAATGTCCAGCGCCACAGCCAGCTTGGGCCGTTTAAGGTTGACCCATGAGATGCCAGGACCGTGAGCCAAGGCCTGGGTGGGCTCACCTAGAAATTGTGTGCAGACTTGGAGGCAGGTGCCACAGGCAAAGTCCATCAGTTTTGCCTGTCCGCTGGCCAGGTGGAGGAGGATGTTGTCAGCTTTGATGTCCCTGTGCAGGACCTCGCAGCTGCTGCAGTGCCTCACAGCCTCCAGCACATGGCGGAACAGCCCCCGCCCCAGTCTGCCGACAGGAATGCCGGCACACGAAGGAAATCAAAGAGGTCGTGGGATCGCTCTGGGCGCTTCATCACCAACAAGAAGTTTTGGCAGCGCCTAAACCAATCCAGGAGCTGGACAACACCATGCAACCCAGTGGACACCCAGCCCAGCAGTTTGATCTCCAGGGGCACGCAGGAGTTGGGCTGCTGGAAGACCACGATGCTGTCAGTGGGACTGATGCCGTGGCAGGGCTCTGGAAGCTCTCAGCCAGCCTGGGATGCTCTGTGCCCTCTACTAATTGCCCTTTGCTCTCCCTCGAGGCGTGCTGGCGGCTTCCACCGTGCCGAGCCTCAGCTTATCCCGCCCAGCACAAGCTGGTTTCTGCTGCTGACCCCACTCCCTCACCAGCTCACCCCAAAGATGGGTGCAATCCCCTGACACACATTTGACGGCCACCTGCTAGCCAAGGGGAGCAGCGGGCTGAGCTTCCAGCCCGCTCTGCCGAGCCTCATCCTCCTCCCCCCTCACCCTCCTCTGCCCCCCGCCAGACCCCCACTCACCGGGGCGCTGTGCTCCAGGCACGTCCCCTTGCAGACGCTGCCGAAGCCGCCGCGCCCCAGCAGAGAGCCCAGCCGGTTTCACCCCTGCAGGGCCTCCTGTGCCTTCCCTGGGGCCAAACGCGGCTGGCGGCGCTCGGCCCGGGTCCAGGAACGGCCCCCGACCGCCCCTCAAGTGTCCCAGGACAGGCAGCTCTGTCTGAATGGGGCACCCTATTTCTCCTGAGCTCTATCACCAGCTGTCCTAAGCAGAAATGGCAAGTTTGGAAAGAAATTGAAATCTATGCCTTAAATGTCAGACACGCTCAGGAGACCCATTAGACAGTCCGAGGTGTGCTTCTGAAGGAGACATTTCACCCTGGCTGCAATAAGCACGCAATCTTCTCTCGGAAGATCTCAACTTTTATCTGATTAAAACTTCTGAAATGGAAAATTTGAAATCTGAGTGCGATTCCTTTATTCCTACTGATGTGGACACTGAAGTTTTACAGCCTTCACTGAAGAGCCTTCAGAGCGGCAGCCAAAGCAAGCACTGCAGCTGCTGCTGCTGTGCCAGACAGCCCCGGCTGGGGAGGGATGGCCTGACCGTGCCGCGGGCTGCTTCTCCTTCCACAGCCTGGCGGTGCTTTTGAGCCAGTAATGACAAGTGGTAGGAGAACAAAGGAGACTTTTCCAGCTCCAGCACTTACGGAGGCATTAGGGCCACCTTCAGGGCAGAATTCCGGCTTGCAAAAATAAAGCAGAAAGACACAGTTGGAAAATGCCTCCCTTGAGGTCTTCTTCTGTGTTGGAAAGGAGGGAGCCAAGTGCCGGGAGGAGCAGCAGGGCCCGGTCCCTCCTCTGTGCCTGCAGTGAGGGGCGGCTGCCGCTGGGCGGCGCCGTGGGAAAGGAGAGCCCCTGTGCGGGGTGGGCGGGGCGGGGCAGCCGCCAGGGGACGCCCGGGGCAGGGCGGGGCCTGTCTGTGAAGGGGGAGAGCCTCGGGCAGCTACATCAGGGCAAAGTACAGCGCCAGGGCAAAGCACAGCTCTAGGGCAAAGCACAGCGCCAGGGCAAAGCACAGGGCCGAGGTAGAGCAGAACGCCAGGGCAACGCATACGCCAGGGCAAAGCACAGCGCCGAGGCAAAGCACAGCGCCAGGGCAATGCACAGCACCGGGCAATGCAAAGCGCCAGGGCAATGCACAGTGCCGCGACAATGCACAGCTTCAGCGCAGGCTGACCAGCAAGGGAATGTTCCCGTGGAGTGCAGGATTTAGGCCTTTTGATTGCCAGTCCTGTGCTGAGCTGGCCCAGCACAAAGCCTCCTCAAGCCCTGCTGCCTCCTCTGCAGGCTTCCTGCAAGGCCTTTGCTGACTGGGTCCAATCAGCCAGGCTGGAGGCAGGCTCAGCTGATGTTGCAAGAGCTGCTGTCCAAAACAAAAAACTACAAAAGCCAAACCAGAAAGGCACTATTAGTTCCCAGGCCCAGTTCCTCACAGGCGGAGGCCGGATTCCTCTGGTTCCCAGAAAGATGCAGGAATAGGACATGAGGGCACTTTGTGCCCCTTACCTTCATGTCCAGCACCTTGCCATTGCAGGCCAACTTAGCTCAAAATCACAGTGGCCCCTTTATCCAGAGTCTTCAGCTTGTTGGGATTTTCCCTGTGGGAGCAGCCTGGGAATGCTGCTTGCTGTCACAGGGCTTTGTTCCTTGCAGGAAACTCCAGAGACTCACTTAGGTCCCTCCTGTCTAAAACATGGCCTGGGTTAGCTGCCAAGAGGATGAGCAGTGTAAATCGTTCCTCAGCACATGCCAATCTCTGTAAGAAATGCTGATTCCAGTGGGATTGAGGTGTTGTTCTCAAGAGCACTGCAGTTCAGGCTTTCAGCAGCAAGACAAGAGCAGGCAGCTTGGCAGGCCTCCAGCATCCCCAGCACTCACCTGCCTTGCAAATTCCTCTGCTTCCTGTAGCCATGGGCTGAGGCCCTGTTCCTGACCTGCGGCCTTCTCCGGTTCCCCATGGCAGTGGCACCTGTTTGCTCCTGCCTGTGGCATATTGTGGGGAAGTCTAGAATGAAATGACAGCGGAGCATTGCACAAAACCTGAACTTTGGATCATTTGCCCCATTTGGTGGTTGCAGCCATCCCCAGCAGACATGGAGTTTGCAGTTCTGTGAGCTGTGCCATCCAGGAAGGAAAAACTAAGTTGGCCCAGGAAAAGCGCAATCAATGTACTAAGCTCCTGCAGGCCAGAAATGAGAGTGCAGCAAAGGACTGAAAAATGGAGTACTATGCAGTATGCACTGTGGGCAGGATAGAGACTTAAAAGCCGCTTCCGTGGAGGAATCTGACCTTGCCCATTTCCCACAAGCTGAAGGGAGTGGGCTTCTGCAAAGGCACCAGGAGTGCCTTCAGTGTTGGACAGAGAACTTTTTCAGGAGAAGAGCTGCCTTGGGAGCTGGAGAGAAGGAGCAAATGCACCCATGCGTGCACCCACAGAGTGAGGGCTGCTCCAAGGGCACTCCCTGCCATGCCGAGGACACGGGCACTGCCCCGTGCAGAGGATGTGTCCCTGTCATATTGACAACACCAACACTTTTCCAGTGCCATGCAAACACCTCTGGGTAGTTTGTTACTCAGGTTACTTTCTCCACTAAGGTGTCGTTCTTCCTTGAGCGAGCCCTAGAGTTTTCTGGTAGATGTTAGCCATGCAGGAAGTGGGCAGGAAGGAGAGGCAATCCAATTTAGGGAACTCTCAGGGATATTACCAAGGCGTGATTTTATCCACAGAGCTGAAGCAAGGGTTGCTTGTTTTAGTCAGAAGCATTGGTGGCCAAAGTGCTGTGTGTGTGCGCGCTTGGTGCCTGCTTTGTGTTCCTTTGGGATCCTTTGAGCTACGGGTTATGGACTGAAGGAGAGGATTGTGCTGCTTTGGGACGGAGGAGAACTTTCCAGGCTCTCTTTTGTGTTAGCTGTAGAGAAGGTTTGGTTGCTAGGCATGAACTGACAGAGCAACCCAGAGCTGCTGCTATTGTGATGTCAGTGCAGAGCTGCCACGTCACAGCGTGGTCATCAGGAGGTTGCCCTGGTGCAGGCAAGGCCTCAACGTCCAGAACAGCTGTTGGCGTTCTCGTTGCAGGAGGATCCTGTTCAGAGGAGTTCTCTGCCAACAGTCTGTGCCCTGAAAAGGGAGTCTTTTTCTTTTGCCTGCCGTTGTACGAGTCGGCGCAGACTCGTCTAGGCATCCTTTTGTTTCCCCTGCGGTTGTAGGGTCTGCAGACACCTACAGGTGTCTTTTTATTTTCCTTTTCTTGTTGTACGGTCTGCAGACTTGTGCAGGTGTCGTTTGTTTTTTCGCTTCTGTTTGTACAGTCCGCAGAGTGCCGCGGGTCTCCTATTTTCTTCTTTTCCTTGCACAGTCTGGGGACTTGTGCAAGTGAGTTTGTCTTCCATTTTTGTTTTACGGCCCAACGACTGAAGCAGCCCTGCTGAAACGATGGAGCGAGTCCGTAGAGCAGTCAGCAGGGCTTTTTCAGCGATATCAGCCCGCAAAATTGTTAGCGGTCTGAGACGTAAGTAGAAGTTTTTTCCTTGGGGGCAGAACAATGAAAGAAAAGTGCCATGAAGATGCCATAACTTTGGTAAAGCTCCTGGCAACAGTTTCAGCCAAAAAGGGAGTGTTCCTTGTCCAGCAGGGTGTGGACAACTTCCAAAATGCAGACTTGGAAGAGTTGTGCAGGTGTCCTTCTGAAAACTGTGCAGTTCTCTGAGGAACTTAAGGAAGGCATCGTTTTTCTGCATTCCCTCCTTAAAGGACGTGCCTCTCTAACTGGCCCCCCTCTGTGCGCTACAAGAGGGATTGGCTTTGCAGTGAAGGGCAAACTGCTGAGCAGATAGTGTGGGCTCCTGAACCCCAGCTCTGGGCCTGTGCTGTGTCCAAACAAAGCTGCAAGCGCCAAGAGGGGTTCAGTGGAAGCTTTTGTGGGGAATTGTTTACAGCAACCACGGGGCACATGCTGCATGCAATTTACAAAAAGAAAAGGAAGTGCAGGAAGGAGAAGAGAAGGAAGCTGCTTTAGTTGTAGGGGGGACAAAGAGCTGCAATGCAGGCAGTGACTGCTAAGGAACAATTTGCATCTTCCTGGCCCCAAGTCTCTAGTTCCTTAGTGGCAAAGCCGAGCAAAAGGTAGACGCAGCCTAGGATACTGGCCTGCAGTCCTGCTTGCTGGGCTACAGAACTGCTGCTCCCGGTAGGGAGGTTGTGCAAGGAAAATGCTCTCTGCTTGGCTGGCCTGGTTCTGTGGCATTCCTCAGCACCAGCAGTCTTGTAACAGCACCTGGTTTGTTCTCTCTTGCCGCGGCAGGTCGCCTCAGAGGTGGAAGGAGTCAAGTCTACGGTTCGGTGAGTGGGACGGGCACCCTTGACATTCCTGGTGCCTGAGGATTATGCTGCAAGCTGCGGGCTTGGCCTGTTGTAGTTGAGTCCAGGCTGGCAGGCCAAAGGAAAGTCCACACCAGTCCACGTCTGCATGTGCACTACCAAAACAATTCCCTCAGTTTCTTCTTCTTTTTCTGTTGAAGAGGATTTAACTAATGTAACTGATGAAACTACGTTTAGCTGACAGAAGGCTACATGCTGATTGTAGCCTGGCTGAAATATCTCCTTCAGAAGCACATGGAGTCCTGTTGAAACATTAGTCTCATCAGCCCACTTGAAATGAGTATTAGAGACTGAGGATCCCATCTGTATTGAAATTCATGGCTTCTCATTAGGACCACTGGTGATAGAGCTCAGGAGAAATAAGGTTCTCTATGACAGCTTACTGCCTGTCCCTCATGCTGCTCTCTGTCTGCAGAGCACCACAGTAGCAGCCGCAGCAGCAGAAGCTGCTCTGGCTCGCTCTCTTCCACCAGAGGGTAAAGGGGAGGCAAAGCACAACAAACCTCCAACTGTGTTGTCAGTCCAGGCCTGAGCATCCTGCAGCAATCAGTGGCAGCTTTGGTTGTTTCAGTGCAAAGCTTTGGTGCAGTGCAGAGCTGGGTGTTTCTGAGCAGGCAGCACTTGCCCTTTGTGGCTGAAGATGCTGAGGGCTGGAGTTCTGCCATGACCTAGCACTTCAGCCCAGCCACTGACACGTGGGAAATGGGGTCTGAACTCTCACATGCAGGCATCATTTTCCTGCCATTCTGACAGGGACTGTGAACTTGCCTTGGTGTCAAAATAGCTGCAGTGTGATGTCCTTTAGTGCTGCTGGGGAGAAAGTGAGCCCCGTTGTGCACAGTGTGTGTGCAGGCTCCCTGCTGCCAGCAGAGAGAGCGGTGCCAAGGCGCAGTTCACAGCCTTGTGGGGAGCACAGGAGCCACCGTTGCTGCAGGGACTTGCCCATCTCCAAGCACTGTCTAAGGAGCTACAGTCTCTTCTTTGACTACACCCTTAACTTTGACAAGAGCCAAGTATGCTGAGAATCCTGAGCAGCTCTGCATGGCTGAGACATTCCAGAAGGGCTGGAATGCAGTTCCTATTGGCTGCTTCCTAATGCTTGAAATCCTGAGGGGAAGCCTTTTGACCAGAGCTGAGCAGGGAAATATTCCCTGCTTCCATCCTGAGCCATTCCAAGCAACACAGGCTTAGTTGGTTACCCACATAAACAGCCCCACACAACAGCTTTTGCCTTCAGGTGAGCTGTGTGTGGCCGCTTGTTGCTTCTTGCAGCTCTCAGGAGCCAACTTCCCTGCTCCTTATTGCTTGTTTTCCTTTTCCATGTCCATTCCTTGCAGGCCCCGCTAGGAGAGCTTCTTGCCTCTCAGAACTCCTCGGCCCAGGCGGGAAAGGCAGAGAGGGAGCAGAGCACAGATAGAGTGTGCAGTGCCCAGCAGTTCAGGTGTGTGTTAAGCTTTCTCGCTTTCTCTGAGCAGGGTTGGGCATTGCTGGGCTTCAGGAGGTTCAGAGTCAAAGAAGAAATGTGGCTTTCTCATGGTTTGACTTGCTCAGCATAGACAGGGGAAGGCAATCTGTGGGCGGGTGTGGCTGCCTCCTGGGACTCACTTCTCCAACCTTCTCAAACCTTGACAAAAAGTATGCTGAACTGGACCAGAGGAAAAGCAAGGGAGGTTCAGGCTGGGTTGATGGAAAGGAAACCTTTGGACTGCAGAGGCAGCAGAACAAGTGCCTCAAAGAGCTTTTGCAGATTCCACCCTTGGAAATTTGGAAACCCCAGCTGGATAGGGCCTTGAGCGGCCTGTCCAGATGCCATAGCTGACTCCAAGTGCTTGGAGCTGAAGATGGGCCTAGAGGCTCCCTGGGGTCCCTGCCAGGCTAAACCATCTTGGGATCCTTTGATTATTGGATTGGAAATTTGTACCCACGTTCTCCCCAGGCTACAGCTTGCGGGCTCTTTCCTTGTTGCGCTAGTGAAAGCAAGAGTAATTGTGGGAGTGCTCATCTGGACTTACCAGGCCTCTCTTAGCCAAAGAGGAACTTTTGCAAGTCCGGTATCCACTGTATCAGAGAGGAGCACTAGCAGGCAGGAAGCTGCTAAGCTGAGAGTACCTGAGCATTCTGGAAATGTTTGGTGGCTTCTGAAAGCTAATTTGTCTTCCTCCCTGGTGATTCTTTCACCTGCAGAAATGACAAAGAGAGATGGTGGTCTAGAGAGGGAATGGCAGCACTCTCTTGAGGTGGAAGTAGAGGGCTGTTGGAAGGCCCTGAGACTGCCCTGTGAGGGACATGGTGTGTAGTCCTGGTCTTCTTGCAAGGAGACTGTGTTTCAATTAAAGGCTTGCTTGTCTGTCCCCTTGTTGTAGAGGGAAGGAGGTGGCTGCATTTGAGAGCAGGCGCCACTCCTCACGAGAGAGGGCCTTGCAAGTGGCAGCAGAGACAGCAGAGGAACCAGAGCTTGCGAGGAACCTGCTGAAGGAAGAGGTTCCTCTGGCGGTGCCAAAGGTACGCTCACCTTATTCCTAGGCAGCACTTATGGGACAGGGAGCTGCCCCTAGCAAGACCGCCCCAAAGGCTGCTTCTGGCAGCAAGCCAAGACTGAGACTGTGCTGTTGTTGTTCCTCTTGAAAAATGGTGCCCCCTCCACTTCCAGGTTTGCCGCCGGCAGCGGCCAGCCCACAGGGGTCTGGAGAAGCTGCTCCAGGAGTTCTCTCGCCAAGGGCACACACTGCCCCGGGGGTGCAGAGACAAGGCAGCACAGGCACAAGAGAACGCTGCCCTGGAAGCCCGACTGGCAGCCACGGAGCGGGAGCTACGAGGCCTTTCAGAGCAGCTGGCAGAGGCCAGGTAAGGGCAGGGAGGAGCACCTGGGTGGGACATTATTGAGGGTCTGGAATGACAAAGGGGGTGAGCATTAAGTCAGGATTTACTGCCTCCTGTTTGCACTGCAGATGTGTCTCTGTCTGAGAAGTGAAGAGACAAGAGAAAAAAGAAAAGGATACTGTCACCTGAGTGTTACTTTTCTGACAGCTCCAGCTGTCAAAGCTCTTCTGGGCGCCCGCCTGGGACCCCCTTGCACATTCCTGGGCCATGTGCAAAGCAAGCCATCTAGGCACTGATATGAGTACTAGGGAAACTGTGCAGATGTTTGCTGATATCAGGAATTTCCCACAGGCTTTGGTTTCTCCTTCAGTGCATCTTAACTTCAATCTTTCTTTGCCAAGTAGTTGGACATGGCATTTTCAGAATTCAAGGCTCTTACATGTGAATGTTATCAGTAGGGTGCTGATGCTTCAGGTGAAAGCTGCAGGGTTGAGCTGATAATCTTGAGACCCTTCTGACATAACTCTTGTCAGTTATGGTGCAGGAACCTGGAGTTGCTTACAATGGAGCAGCAGAAGAAGGCAAAGGTCTTGTGGCTTCTCGACAATGTCCAGGGATTCTTGCTGAGCACTTGTCCACCCACCTCTGTTACCTGTCAAGGTCCTCAGGCAGCCCCCTTCTTAAAGAGTATCAAGACATTTGGGCATTGCTGGCTCAGTTTACCAAAAATCAAGGGAGCAAGCATTCTTGTTCATGAAAATCCAGTAATTGAAATGGCAGGATACCTGACATCCCTCCTCCAAGACAGTGCCAACCAATTTGGATAAAACCTAGTTCTGGTTTCTTACTCACACTTGTAGAAGGTGGAGCTTTCATATATCATTCCTTTAGTCCCTTTGAGTCACTTTGAGAGCATCTGGTAAACAAAGTATCTCTACGTGCACTAGGAATAACAGTAAACATTGAGGAGGCAGTGCTCAGGAGAACACTGGCTTCTGTCCCCCTGCAGAGTGACTTGGAAGGGCTGATGAGCTCAGGGCTCTGAGCACGGGCTGGGCTTTTGCTTGTTGGCAGAGACTTTGTGGGCACAGCCACCCATGAGGACTGTGTCTGGCAACAGCAATTTGAGCACTGACTGCTGAGCTCAAACTCAGCTGGCCTTACTGCGCTGGGCTAGGTCATGAGGAAAAGCTGGCCAACCACCTGGATGGTCCTGCTTTGCTATTTTAAGTAACAGAAACAATCTTGCTGGAGCTGAGTTTCCATGCACGCCCTTTTCCATGCTCAGGACATGTAACTGAAGGTATGTCCAACTGGAGAAACTGCCCCTGTGTGCCAGGAACAATTTCTCCTCATCTTCACACCTTGTAGGTCAGAGAAGGAGAGCCTGCAAAGCAGCCTGCTGCAGGCTCAGCAGCACGTATCGGAGCTGGAGATCACCAGGAGCCGTCTGGAAGCCCAAGTGCGCACGGCCACACGGGCCCAGGAGGTCATACTCGGTGAGAGCCTGGTGTGCTTTGTTTCTGGTGATGGCCCAGCCTAGTGCAGTTGCTCCAAAGGAAGCTCTGTCCACAGGGCTCCTGAGGAGGAAGGGAACTGAGCACAGGTCCCTCCTTGCCTGAGACTGAAAGGGCTTAAGGTCAGTAGAGTCTCTGCTTGTGTAGTCTCTGACTGTTGCCGTTTGTCATGTTTGCAGAGGATGTGAAGGGCCTCCGTCAGGAGCTGCAAGCTGTAAGATCTCTCAGCAAGCAGCAATGTGAAGAAATGGCTCAAGAGCTCCGCTGGGCAGAAGAGCAGTGCTGCAAGGCTCTCAGACACTGGCAATCTGCTCAGAAAGAGGAAAAAAGGAAGCTCCAGCAAGAAATGGTAAGCGACAATATGCACGGAAGTTTTCAGGCCAACTTGCTGGGCTGGCTTAGCAGAAGAGCAGCCTGGGTGACATGGCTGCAAGCATCTGCTGTAGTCTACACATTGCTGGGCTACACACAGCAGGGGGCTTCAAGGGCTCCTACTAGAAAGCCTGTGAAGACCAAGAGGATGGTGCCGGGACAGTACCTGCAGCCTCGGTTTCAGGCTGGGTGTAAGCCAAGTTCCCCAGAGAGCTGGGTGGTTGCCACCCAAAGCATGGCAGCGAAGGATCTTGCCCACAGCCTGGTGCCATGCAGCAGGCAGCTGCTGACCTTGCTGCACTCTGCAGTCCCAGCAACTGGGTTCCTTGCATTCTGTCCTTCCACGGTGGACAGAGAGTCTCCCCTTTGGGCTTGAAGCATACGCAACAGGCCCCGTGTTGCTGGTATTCCAGCTGGTGGCCTGTCTTGTGACTAGGGCATTGGGGTGCTGGCTTCCTCCTCATGCTGCAGTCCACCTGCAGGTTTTCCTTGATCCAAGGGCTGCGGCACTTTGAGAAGACAGCCTGTGAGAGCAGGCAGAAATCCTGAGGAGACAGGGGCTAGGAAACAGGCAGCCTTCAGAGTGGGGAAGGAAGGCGGAATCTCCTTTCCTTCCACCTGCTGACCCTCCTGTGAAGTTCCTGGTTAGAAGTGCTGGAGGGCACAAAGCCACTACTGGGGACTCTTCAGGTGGGGGGCTTGTGGGAGGGATGAAGCTGTCATTTTTTTCTTTGGGGAGCACGGCTGGGACTTCATCTGGAAGTGTCTCTTCCTCTCCTCAGAAGCAATGTCTGGAACGGCAGCGCTTGGAGGCGCAGGCGATGCTGGAGGAACGGGAAAGCTTCCTGGCAGAGGTACAGAGGGAGCAGGAGAAAAGGCTGCTTGAGATGAAGCAGGATGTTGCCATCAGGCAACCTGAACAAGAAAAGATAGGAACCAGAGCCAGTCAAGAGGCAGCACAGAGTGTGAAAAGAGAGTTTGTGTGTTGCTTTGGTCTCCTCTGGGCTCCTTATGGGCACTGCTTCTGTGGACACTGTCTGTCTGAGTGGGACTGCCTCTTAGCTGGCCCGTGGTGAACATGAGGAGGAGAACAAAGTGCTTTTGGAAAGCGTGCGCACCTCAATCTTGGTGGCCACACAGGTGGTGTGTGGGACATTGAAAGGCGTCTTCTCTTTGTTCCTGTGCAGCTCCAGGGTGAGAATGCTGCTGTCTTAGCCAAGGTGCAGCAGCTGCAATGGGAGCTAGAGCAAAGCCGGCAGCAGCTGGAGCAGCTGAGGCAGCAGCTGAATGCGGAGCGTCTGAATGGGCAGGTGAGCCTGACCAGGCAGGGTGCAGAGGGAAGGGCAGTGATGGGGGCATGAGCTGGACATCTCAGGAAAGGGGAGGCAAGGACTACTGCAGGCACTGGGAGCACAGAGCCGGGCAGGCTCCAGCGCTGTGCACCAGGAAGAAGAGTTGAGGTGAAAGAGTGAGAGCTGGGTGGAGAAGCAGAATGGAAGTGCCTACGAGACTTGGAATTGAGAAGGCTGAGCATGATGGCAGGAGCTAGTGAGACTTTTCTTGACAGAATATCAAGGACAAGATGCAGGCAGAGCTGCAGAAAGCTTGGAGCGTGATGAAGGCAGTGGAGGAGAGGTGCATAGAAGAAATGGAAAGGATGTGCAGGATCCAGCTGCAGTACAGGCTGGCAGAACAACAGCAGGTGAGTGAGAGAGCAGTAGGCACTGCAGTCATGCAACAAGTGGTCTCTGCTCTTCTCACCTTTCCCCTGCAGAGCAGCAGGTGGATGGGGGCAAGGCCCCTGACTGCCAAGCTCTGTGCTCTGCGTTGCAGCTCGCCAGCACAACACTTACTGGGCCACTGAAGCACAGCTTTGCTGCCCTGGGCATCAAAGCTAGTGCTTTGGCTGGTGGGCCAGCAATCCTGTGAATGTATTTCTGCTGGCTTCTTAGTGCCCACGTTGTTTATTGAGGAGTTTGCTCAGGTGAACATGGTGACCCATGCACATTCTGAACAAGTTGTCCCTTTCCATGGCGAATGCAGGTCTCAGAACGGGGTGAAATTTTAAGGTCTTCTTTCCCTTTCACCATCTCTACTATGGCTGGCTGTGACAAGCTGTAGTCTCTGACTGCTTGTTTGGCTTTGACTTGAGGTGGAAGAGTTGACAGCTCAGTGTGCAGCCAAACACCAGTGTTGTTCCTGATGGCATGCCTGTGAAATGTGCTGTCAGGGGCATCTCTGCCAGCCACTTTTCTGACACAAACAAATTTCTTGTCCCAGATGGACGAGGGCTCTGCCGTTGAAGGCGCCGCTGCAGCAGCACCCTCCGAAGAAGCCTCCCCTCCGCAGCCTGAGAACCCGAGCAGGAGCAGCTGGCTCCGCTCCGGCCAGGAGAGCGAGAAGCAGTGCCTGAGGCTGCTGAGTAAGTCCTGGGGATTTCTTGTGCAATCCAGCAGTGTATTATGGGGTGTGTGCCTCAGCATGAGCTGTAGCGCATCTTCCTCCTGACCCTGGTGTCGGGGAGACATTCTGGACTCCCTACAGGAGCCATTGTTGTGCTTGGAGGCAGCCAGGGAGCATTTTGGGGCACTCCTTTTGCCTTTGAGGGCAGCTGGGTGTGGGTGGCCTTTGCCTGAGGTTCCATGTGCGCTAAAGGCAAAAGCAGGGATTGTTTCCTGAGCAGCAGAAGGCTGCAACCTAGCCAATGACTGAGTCAGCTTGTGTGTGCTGGTCTGGCCATATTGATCATAGTAGTTGGCTTCCTAGATTGCCTTTGGACTGCATTCGGAGACAAAAGACTTCAGAGAAATTGTTTGGCTGTGGGGCTGGTTTCATACTGGTGGTGTTTTCATGACTTCTACTATTCCTTCTACAGTTTGCTTGGATAAAAATTCTACAATTTTGTTAGTGTGACCTCCTTGGAAGGAGCATCAGGTGATAGCAAAACAACAGAGGAAGGGGTCTTTTCAGCACACCCCAAATGTTAAGAAATTGTATTCTTAGAACAATCCCTGGGAATCAGAGAGCAAGAGGTGTTTTCACAGTGCAGCCAACAAAGAAAAACACAATTTGTTTTTCCAATCCCTCTTGGAGAGTTCAGTTGTATGCCTAGGGAGACGCATCAAGAGACACTTCTATGTGGCAGGGCCAGATAAAACTGCCCTGCAGGCAATTCTCAGGAGGAAGCCTGCAGCCCCTCTGCTGCATCTTCCTCCAGTAGAAGGCACTTTGTCAGGGCTAAAGCCCAGCCGGTAAATACTCTTGGGATAGTAAGGATTGGCCTCAATCCCTGCACTCTTGGAAAGCACAGCAAGGCCTTGGTGACTCTGCAGTGCAACTCAGTTGCTCCTTGCAACTGGTCATAGCTGCCAGTGCAGCGCTGTCAGAGAATAAGAAGCGGGCAGGTACAGAACAGAGCCCAGTTTACTCAGTGTCGGCCATCAGCTGTAGGGACAAGAGGTGAATGGATGGACTCCTGCTTGGCTCTGAACTCAGTGACACCCATGTTGTGTCTCGAGTGGGGTCAACAGCTTGTAGCAGTGCTCAGTCTGGCTCTGGCTTCTTCACAGTGCCTGTCCGTGGCCATTTGTGGGCTCTGCCCAGGTTTTGGTCATACCTGCCCTGCCACTGATGGCTGCTGTGACTGCAGGGGCTGGAGCCTTCCTTAGCTGTGAGGTTTCAGCAGCCACCGCGTTGCTGCAGCTTTGCCTGGACTCGTCAGAGGATCAGCAGCTCGTTTGTGCAGGTGTCTGAGCCACGGCAGCGCCTGAGGAGCGGCGCTGTCCTTGTTACCCGTCTGGGCTGTGCCCTTGGGGAAGATGGGGCACGTGGCTGGTGTCCAAGGGGCCGAGGGCAGTGCCAGTGACTGCTGCAGCCCAGGCTGAAGACATGGACTTGTTGTTCTTCACTAAATGGGGAATGGGCAAAATCATCTTCAGAACTTAGCCTGCTCGTAAAAGAAGAGGGTCCTAATTCTTACAGCCATTGTTTTGGATGTAGCACAGCATGAGCTGCTGTTCTCTGAAAATGTCAAGGCATTCTTTAGGCAAACTTTTGCGAGGTAGAGGAAATCCCCTCCTCTCCTGGATTTCACTTTGCAATATTCCTTCAGCTCTGCAAAAAGCAGCTGTTGATAAAACTTCATCCCAGATGGCAGGGTGCATTGAAATCTTGGAATTCTGAAACCTTTTGTTGAACCTCACAAGAGAGTGTTATCTCTCAGGAGAATGAAGGGTCCTGATTTTTCAGCCCTCCTTCCCCTTTGTGGACCACAAGCACTTGCCACGGTGCCAGTTCTTTTCTGGTCTCTGTCTGCTCTGACGGTTTCTCCGCGGGCTTAGTCTCCTCTTCAGAGGATTGTGCAGAATCAGACTCTGTGCAGGCCACGTGTGTTACAGAGCTGCCTGTCTTCTTACTGCGGCTGCTCTTGTTGTTCTTGTTGACACTGTTGTTAGGCAACCGACCAGAAATTGCTCCGAGCCCCTGAGAGTGGAGCTGAGATTCTGATCCACTGGAAGTCAGGATCTCTGTTTTGAAGTTTGCTTCTTGCATTTTCTTTCTTTCAGGGAGTGTGGTGAGCGTGGCAGATCCAGAAAAGAAATACACTGGATGGAAAATTATTGGCAGGGGGTGAGTTCAGCCACGCTTACTCCTCCAGAACCATGGGTCACGTACGTGGCTGCTGGAATATCAAGAGGGAAGTCAGGCAAGCTGCAAGCATCTTCAGACCCTGGCTTTAGATTGTCCCTGTCTCAGTACTGGTCACAAGGCATCATCAAAGATAACTGCATGCTGGCAACCAATGTCTTGCCTGCCCTCAAGGAGGCACTTGCCTGTCCCTCAAATGTGTGGCACGAGATTCCTTATTTTCTCAGCAGACATGGTTTTGCCTGATTCTAAGTAATATGGCCCCACAACTGAAGGAAGAAAAAACTGAGAGAGCAGCTTCCCCCCTGAGAGCCGTCAGACAGCAGCTCTCAGCAGCATTTCTTTCCAGTATTTTGCTGAACACAACTTTCAGTGCTCAGGACAATAAGACAGGCTGTGTGGCGCTGCCTGAGTTTGGCAGGCAGAATCAAAAGAGAGCTCTGAGTGCAACAGGACTGTGTGTGTTTCATTGCTTGGAAAGGCGCCCCACACGCACAAGCGCAAAAAGGAAGAGGCAAAGCAAACCCTCACATCCATAGTCTAGTGTGTACATTTGAGATTTGTAGCAGCTCTTTTTTCTTCCTGTTGGACTCAGTTTGCTCTTGGACAAGCTGCATGGCAGAGGGTTGCTGGGCTGCTGTGGTATTGTCTGAAGAGTAGACAAAGGCTGGTGTTTGAGGGACGCTCCAGGCAGCAGAGAGCTCCTGCCTGGGCTGCCTTTTGCTTCTCAGCACTGAACAGCTCCTCTGTTCTTGCTGCTGTTCTGTTCCTAGGGGTTTTGGAACCGTTTATAAGGCCTTGGATGCTGCCACAGGACAAGCGGTAAGTGCCAACAGCCCTTGCAGATTTCGCAGCTCTTGAGCGCTTTCCCTTGGGATGTCATCTGTGGCCAGAGCTTTGTGTTACCAGTCTTTGCTGCAAAGGCTGCCTAGAGGCAGGCTGGAAAATGCATGGTGGACAGACTTTGTCTCGCATTCTGAATCAATGTGAGGATGGCAGTGGTGTCTTTCCAAGAAGACCATGCTGTCTTGGACTGACTGGATAAGTGTGCAGAGATTAGCTGATGGCAGCAGCCGTCATTCTGGCCCAATTCCTCTTAATCCCAGGTTGAGACACAGATAGGATTTGCCATTGTTTCCCATCACAGGGTACACTTTGAAAAGACCTAAAGATGGAGAGGCCTTGTCTGGAGCGCACTTTTGCCTTGCAGTCCTAGGGAGCCAGGGTCACACACACACACAGACACTGGCACACGGATCAGTGAGAAGAAGTTGATGAAGAGCCTTAAGTAATACCGCCTTGTGTTGGTCCTTTGTTGCTGACATTCCATTACAGAGATGCTTTTTGTGCTGAACTGACATGCTGGTGTCTTGGAGAGTCCCATGCTCTTTGGGGCTAACCATTCAGAGTCCTGAATTCTCCTTTCTGGCTCTCAGCAAATACAACTCCATCTTCCTGGTAGCTCCTTATCCACCTGCAGTGCTGTGCTCAGCAACTGCACTTGGAGGGATGTCTACAAGGAGTCTGAAAGCCCTAAGCCCTGCTTATCACCTGGAGTGCATCCGTAGTGGTCCACAGAAAGGATTCTTCATTTTTTAATGCACTCAATCATTACACATCTAAACCGTGTTGGGGAATGCTCTTCAGAGATGCAAAATCCAGAAGAAGTTAGGATGTGCTAGGATGTTAACTTTCCTTTGAGTTGCCTTGGAGTTGTTCTTTTTCAGACAGCATTTTCTCTGTAATGGATTGGTGTATTTACTTTGGAGCACAATCAAGAATGGCAGCAGTTTCTGAAACACTGATCAAATCCCCTAGAAATGCTAACCTATTTTCCACAAGTTGAGTTTCATTTCACAGAAGCAAAATTCCTTTGGCTTGCAAAACGCGTGTAAATGATAAGAGTAGTGAGAAAGGAGGTCTCACGGAGGAGTCTGCAAGGGCTGAGAGTGCTGTTAGCACATTGTGGCTGATGCTTTAGAGTCCCTTTTCACCGAGGTGACAAGGCATCCTGGCCCGTGAGTGCACGGAGGAAGAGGCTCTTGTAATGTCTGTTCCTAACGGCTTTCAACGTCATTGTAGGTGGCCGTAAAGGAAATTAATCTCCAGCACCAGCGCTGCAAGGAAGTATTGAAAGAAATCCTGGTCATGAGGGAAATGAGGAACCCCAGTATTGTCACCTACCTAGAAAGGTAAGTAGTTCTGTATTTTTATGGGAATGTCAGTTTCCATACTTGCAAGACAAAGGTTTCAAGCACTTTGCTCGGTGGCAGAAAATTGAT